CACCGCGTCCCATCGCGTCACCTCAACCCCGTGCGAGCCATCGCGCTCTTTTTATTCTCCTCCTCGGCCTCTTTTTCTCTTTTCTCCTCGGGCCGCCCGCATTCCGCCCGATCGAGCCTTCCTTTCGGCGTCGAAGGCTTTCTTGCGCCGCCCGGAGCAGCTATTGCCCGCCGAGCGAGCGACGTTTCCTCCTCTCCTCGGTAAGCGTGCGAACGCTCGTTAATGCTCCGCGGCCCAATATTGGCCCGCCAAGGGGAGCCAACTGCCGTTCGTCTCGCATGCGATTGCCAACTGCGTTAATTGCCATAATTTAAAGACACCCGGGCGAGTCGAGGCTGGAGGGAGCGTTAGACGGTGACGTTTTTTCCATTGGCCTGCCGCCACACTGCGGATAGATATATTCGCCGGTCGGCGTGTGTTATGTGGTTGGCGATTGGGGAGGGGTTGGGAAAGGGGTGAGTGGAATGGGGGTGGTGGTGGGGGGGGGTGCAATTAAATACAGCTCCGTTTCGCAGCTTGCCAGGTCGTGAAACGGGCGACTGACGTGTTTATTAAAGCGAGGTCGAGCGAGCTCAGTGCATCTTCGTGTCGAAGGCCGTCGGTGCTTCCTTCCCCGTACGAGTCGCGCTTTCTTAAAGCGAGATTTTACACTTTTACACGCTTTTCACTCTTCGATTCGCAAAATCATCCAATCTCAGTGCAACGACGATAAGAATTTCACTGGTTAATTGCGGAATTAAAGTCTCGCTACCGCGAAGATAGCGAATGGCAATGGTTATCGTATAAATAGTGGATTAATCGCGAGCGAATGCGCGTGGAATTCCCGTGAACGCCGACTTGTTTGCCAAAATCTTTAAATGCAATCGATCCGACGATTATTTACCAACTTTACAGGCCAAATGCACTTAATTAATAATAAACAATATCGTGATATGCCCTATGAGGTGGAGGCCGAGGCCGAGGCCGAGGATCATTAAAGCCTTAAGCCCTGTTAATTTTTACTAAGCCTACTAGTTTCTAGTTTCTACTTGTTCGGATAAAGGACTCATTAGAGTTGGATTTACGTTTATTATCGTGACTAGAGGCTACTGCAATGTCAATCCTTTAGTGTTGTTAAGCTTTAAATTTTCAGCCTCGTTGATAATATTCTTCCACCAGTCTGGGCACTCTATTCTCTAGGCACAAAACGACTAAATTTTAAACAAAGAAACATGTCTCGCCGCTGTGCGTCAAGCTCTCAGCGGCAAATGAAATATTTATTGCACAGCCTTTGACTCCTTATGACTTTGCAATTTTTAATTTTAAAGTTCGCCTAGAATAAAATTGACACTGCGCAATATTAAAATTTCGTATTCGGCAAACCTTGTAATTTAATAGTTGAAATGTAATGAAACTTTAAATGAATTTTTGAAGAATAGGCCAGATTATTTATTCAAGCAACTAATAAACATGATTTTATGTCATATTACAAAAAGTTTTTAATACTAATGAGCAAAACTTTTTGAATTTATAGTACATAAAATACGCGCAGTACGATTCTTAAATATTTGTCAAACTACAAGAGTTATAACTGCTTTGCAATTGCACTTAACCGTGGCTACGCGTGTTTGTGGGTTTTGTGTCGATAACGTTCAGCGTGGACTAACAAACAGTACGGGCAATTGCATCATTTCACAATATTCTTGAAAGAATGGGATCGCCGATTTGAAATTACACACCTTGAGAATCAATTGAAAATACGTAGAAGACAAATTTTCAAGAGTCAAAATAGTCTGCTTTATTATCAGTTAACATTAATGTAAATGACGTCTCGTTACGGAAAATGGATTACGCTCGTTTTACAGCGCATCTCCGGCTAACGGACTGTCAAAATCTCGAATTTCGATATTTATAGATGTGATTCGTTCATAAATTATCCTACATACAGTCGGCAGCAGTGACAAGAATTTTTTTCATTTGTCTCATTTTCGTATCGGCGCATTATCATCGCCAAACGTGACAATTAGTCGTAACATTGCTCGCGGAAAGTCAGTCAGTGACTGCATGTCGGATTCTAATATATTAAATGAGCCTTACTATAATAATCATAATTCATGCAATCCTTAATCGATACGAACCCTTATCACAAATTGCATGGAATGCAGTAATAGTCTCCATCGAAGTCCTACTTACATAAATCACAATTAACTGCAAACGCCTAGTTTAATATAGAAATAATCGCGTTGCAATAATCATATTATTAATTCGTATTCGTAATAAAGTATTCCTCGTTCAATTTGGCTTTTAATACGGATTTTATAATGTAAGAATAGTTGGCCCTGTGTAGCACAATTATCATTCCCATAATAATTCATGTCATTAATATAATTATAACTTTATAGGATTGTAGATATTAATAAATATTTATCGGGTGAAGGAGAAGAGAGTTGATGTGCCGAATGACGAGTCGACGAAACTAAATTACAAATCTAAATTACAATATTCTTTTATCGCTCATTATCGAGATTAAATATAAAATAGCGGAGCGATACTTTTCCTTATTTACATTCGCCTCTACATTAATTATATAGAAAATCCTATCGATCTTTATGTATCAATCACCCCTTCACCCCTGATAATACATCTAACGTACTTTATCATTGAAATCTCCTTTTTTATTTTTCATTTTTTGATCGAAAATTTTTCAATCGTAAAATTTATTTAATTCTCATTTTCTCTCTCACTCTCACTCTCACTCTCACTCTCACTCTCACTCTCTCTCTCTCTCTCTCTCTCTCTCTGTCTCTCTCTTCCACTTTGCTGTATCAATCCATCAACATTTCCTTTATTAAATATAGCGCATTAAGAATATTACGAAGGATTAAAACGTTGGCTGTCTAAGATCGATCAAGTCCCTTGGCTAAAAGTATATATGTAAAAATTCGATAATTCGAGAATAGCATGTATTCACGTTGAAAATTCCAAGGACTTTGGACTGCGACAACCAATTATAAATTTAATAACCGAGTTAATTTGGCACGGTCTTTAGCTAAAATAAACTGCGGGGCTAGTAAAAATTTTCAACGATCAACTTGCATTTTAACCATAATTTTACGCGACAATTCATTGCCATATTCACATGACAATGCCATGAAACGGTCACCAACATCAAACAAAAAAAACAGAAAGTAAAAAAGAGAAAAAACATGCCAGCCCCGCGTCCCCTCCATTCTCCAACACCACGTGTTTTACGTTCGGTACTATCATTATCGATAAATTCACGAGAAAAGCAAAAGCAAAGAGAAAAAAAATGTTTGCAAATAAACATTGGTTATGGAAATGCAACATTCAACATTCCGAATCTTGTGCTCGAGTCTCACCTTCCAAATACGTCCGTATGTGTCACGTAGCTCGCGATAAGCATGTTGTATTATCGGAGCCAGAGTCGCGTGGGCGTATGCTCGAGGGTAACGAAGAAAAAAAAGGCTTTCTTTTTTTATAAAAGGAAGAAGAAATGAAGGAGAAGAAAGTTGGGGAACTCGGAATTGAGGGGAGGAAAGAAGTACACGGGTAATTTAGTCCGAGCATGCGTCGCGCGAATGTTAATTTCCATAAGAATGCAGTTGGACGAAGCTGTTGCGCGAATTGGGTGAGGGGATGTGGAGTGGGAGGGGAATTTGATGGGGGAGGGGGAGCAGAGACGCAGGTGTAGGGCGAAGGGTCCGCTCGAGCCGACGCTCGATCATACGATTTAAGGGCTTCGTTTTGTCCAATTGGTGTTGCAGTCACTCGGGTCTTCGGGGCGTCGCCTTGCCGGAGTCGGCGTCGTTGGGTCCCGAGGCCGCGGGCTTCTGCGCGGCACTGAAGGGCCTGTCCCAGGGCCAGGAGAAACTCTGTCAGCTGTCGCACGACCATATGCCAAGCGTCGCCCGGGGCGCCAAGGCCGGCATCCACGAGTGCCAGCACCAGTTCAGGCATCGTCGCTGGAACTGCTCGACCCTCGACGACGAGACCGTGTTCGGACCGGTCCTCGACGTGGGTACGTATCTTTTACGATTCGTCCCGACTCGCTCCACGCTCACCCTACCTACTCACCTTGCTCCTCTCTCTCTCTCTCTCTCTCTCCACCCACCCACCCACATACCCCGATCCCCTCTTCCTAACCTCGTTTCGAGCTCGCGACCTAATATGTTTCGTACTCGCGGCTCCTGTCCAATCCTGTCCAACCCAACTCCATTTACAGGTACGACCGACGCATACGCGCAGCTCCCGTCTTCTCGATCCTCGCGGCTTACGGGTCTTTGACTTTCTCGGAGTCCACTTTTCAACGGACGGGACTCCGTCTCCGCCTCCGCCTCCGATGAGATCGATTAAAAGCTACGATCCGAGCGCTGTGCACTAATCAAACTCGGATTATAGTCGCGAGCCATCTCGTCCCGCCTACTTTATGTGACCCGCGCCCCACCGATTACGCATTATCGCATCTCGCTAGTATCATTTTTACAAAGCAGCCCGACAATCGTCCTGCACCAAAACGTTTATTCGCTTGTTTGTCGTTCATTACCTCTCAAGTGTACGCGCCCAACCTCCGTCCGTATAACCCTCGCAGCTCAACATCGGCGGTCAATCTCAAACGCCAACTCCTTCACTCGCCACTCCAAACTCGCGTCCCTCTCTTAATCCCGAGCTAATGCATGCACGCGCGATTATAAAGGAGCCGGACCTTTTCTGTCGCCCCACCCCACCCCACCCACTACGCCCCACCCACCAGCCACTCGACATTAAAAGAGCGCAACCAACATTGAGCGATTGGACGGAGGCGCTGCAGCAATTAACAATAATACGCAACGCCACCGAGCGAAAGAATACGCGGCTTAATTGCCAGGCAGGGCGTAAGTGGCGAATTACCGGCCAATTGCGAATATCTCGCTGGTGGACCTGGCAATGGTGGTAGTTCGGCACTTTTGTAAGGTACGACGAGGGCCATCGAGTCAGTGTGTACGTGTCTGTGGCGGTAGAGCGACGCGAGACGTATCCGACGGTAC